CTACATTTTCTACCTCCTCTATAATAGATGTTGTTTCACGAAATGCATCTGTGACCATATCATGCATCCTATCATGATCTACCATATGATGATCCTCTTGAAGGTAACTTTCAGAAAGCAAATGTGGTTCCTCTCTGTTATGAACTATTTCAACCTGATTACTACTACTAGCTTCATTCCTATTATCACCTTCTCCGTGATTATACCAGATATAGTAATGTGGAGTAAATCCTCTATTTACTATATGTTTCCAAACCGTTTCACTAGCAGCAAACTTCGTATTGTTGCATTTACGACAAGGACAGAACATTTTACCCGTCTCCTGTGTGAGAGACGTTTGTCCGGCCTGGTTCATGAACATCTCTGCTCCGTTGAGAAATTCATCAGTTACTATTCCGCTTGAATCTTTATGTGCATACATCCAACTCCGGATCTCATAAATATTTCTAGACATTTTTTAAAAAAGTTTTCTGTTTTTTTTTTCTTGTTTTAAGAATGAGGAAGAAGATCATATTTATAGAGAAATTTCGATTTTGGTAGGTAGTTAACTTAGTAGTTAAACATATGCAAAAATGGATGCAAAAGAATTAATCGTAATCTGGTAGCACTTTAACAACCAATTTACAACCAAATAGTAGTTAATTGGTTGTAAAATTTATTAGATGTATATTAGTCGTAAATTTACAACCAATGAGTGGCAATTTTACGACCCATTTACAACCAAATAGTAGTTAATTGGTGGTAAAATATATTAGATGTATATTAGTCGTAAATTTACAACCAATGAGTGACAAATGTTCTTTACGACCAATTAGGGACTACATTTGTAATATATTTTTTAAAAAAAAGAGAGAAGAAAGACAGTGGAATCACAACTCCATAGATTCTAAGCGAAACCAACGTTTCAATGTTAGTCCCGCATTAATCTTTTTGGAGTTGTGATCCCACTGTCTTTTTTTTCTCTTTTTCTTAAATTTTTAAACTCTTCGACTCAATTATCAACTCTCTTTATTAATATATTTCAAAATATTAGTTTAGAAATATTTGGAAAAGAAGAGAAGAAAGATACTAGAATCATAATTCTGTGGATTCTATGCGAAACCAACGTTTCAACGTTCGTCTCGCATTGATCTCTTCGGAGTTTTGANATTAATATATTTCAAAATATTAGTTTAGAAATATTTGGAAAAGAAGAGAAGAAAGATACTAGAATCATAATTCTGTGGATTCTATGCGAAACCAACGTTTCAACGTTCGTCTCGCATTGATCTCTTCGGAGTTTTGATCCGAGTACCTTTCTCTATTCTTTTTCAAATCTTTCCACACTATATCTAAAATATTTTAAAAATTTTGTTTATCTTTTGGGAGAAAACGATGGTTCTTTTATAGGGGACATTACGACTACTTAGCTTAGCTTCGAAATTTTACGACTAATTAGCATCTCGTACCATCCCTTAGTCGTAATCGAGTCGTACATTACGACCAATTAGCTTCAACCTACCATTAAAGCTTTGACCGAAATCCTAAACACGTGTAGTCGTACACTAGTCGTAATTTAACGACCAGAGTACGTTCACAAGGACATGTAGTCGTATATTGGTCGTTATGTTACGACTAATTTACGTCTATTGTAATTGGTAGCAATTTAACCTTTGAGTTACGACTAATTCTTTTTTTAGACGTAAAGTAGTCGTAATTGCGATTTAAAATTACGACTACACATCTGTAGTCGTAATTCGTAGTCGCTATGGCCATGTTTTCTTGTAGTGTGGGTATCAAGTGGGTGGCGATGTTTTCTTCTCGGTCCATAAGTCACCACACTATGGTCAACTACTGTCTAGTCAGTATCTACATGGTAATCGAGTCGGTGAGAGTGTTTTGGGTGAGAGTGCGCTTGTTTCACAAAGGAAGCGTAATCCTGCTGACTTTGCGCTGTGGAAGGTCTGACCAGTATAATCTCTCATTTTCTCATTTTTTCTTAAGTCAGTAAAAGTTGTTGTACTAATAGCCTCTTTATTATTATTTACTATTATCCTGTGAAGGCTGCAAAACCTGGTGAAGAACCAAGCTGGGATAGCCCTTGGGGTCCAGGAAGACCAGGATGGCACATAGAGTGCAGTGCAATGAGCACCCATTACCTGTCTCCCAGATTTGACATTCACGGTTGTGCTACAAATCTGAGATTTCCGCACCATGAAAACGTGATTGCCGCCAAGACTTGTGCCAAGATAGTGGTAGTGTGAATTACTGGTTGCACAATGACCACGTCATCAACAATAACAACGGGAAGATCCGAAGACGAGGTCTATATTTTACAATTAAACAAGTAAGTTTTTCTTTATATTGTTCCATAAAATTTAGTCTCTGTGCATTATTTGGATCAGAATTGTTTGGATCTGTGTTAGATCACGGCCCTTTATCACCCATTTGCTGTGAGACACTTTTTGATGAGTGTGCACTACCCGTCTCCCCTGAGCTATACCATTAACCAGCTAGAGAGTTCGTCCAACTCTTTATATATATCTGTATATCAGGTACATACAATGCTTTCCCAAATTTGATTAATGTTTTTTTTTAAATAAATAACTCTGGTCATCTTTTTTTTTCATTGTTTAGACATTACAAGATGTTGAAGCTCTGGCTCCTTATCAAGAAGCATTTAAAAGACGACAATGGAAAGTCTGAACAGACTTCAGAAGCTAAATGCGTGATTAAGAAACTGTGGAAGGATTTCGAAGTGAATATGTCAGACGACCTGAACTCACCTCCCATACTCAGAGGCGCGTTCCAGAGCACGATGAAATTCATCAACGTTTCAATCACCAAACTCAAGAAAACGCAGCAGGGACAGCAGGAGAAGATGGCGCTGGTTGTGTCACTTTTAGAGATCGAGAAAGCAGCGAGGGGAATCCTCGATGTGCTTGGTTTGCTCACGCCTCTAAGCTACGCAGAGTTTTTGAAAGAGATGAAACAAAAAGCATTAGCAAAAGCACAATTAGGAGAAGAAGAAGTGTTACAGAATATTGAAGAAAGGAAAATGAGACGGAAGGTAAGCGATAATATTAGAGGTTCGTTGAAAAGTAGAGGAATCTCCCTCATGGATATCCCTGGAAAAGACACTCTGTGGAGGCCCTCTTTCGAGTGCAGCTCTCAGCCTATACCTAGAAAAGCCACTTTGTGGAGGCCCTGGCTCCTTTACACCTCTAAGTATAAATTCCATTAGGGGTGTGAGTTCCAGTAGGGGTGATGACCGGCATATCTAAATTAATGCACGCTTATATATCATATAGTTTTGTAGTGAAAGTTATTAAGGGAGCTTTACTTAGAGGTTGGCCAAGATCTTGTGAAGCTACGTCCATGTCACTGTGATGATCTACAGCTACTTGCACATTAAGTTAACAGGTCTAAACACCATCACTCGGTCAGAGAGTTGTGTACTTTGAAACCAATAAGTTGCTTCAGGAGACCTCGAAACTCAAGAGTAGTCAATAACACCAACAGATGAAAGATTCCTTACTAAAATAGATATATACTTTTAATTTGAATATCTATCAGATGAGATTTCTTACTCATATGGTTTTTTGACCATTTAAATTTATAAATCAATTTTTTGTACAGTTTTTGGTAATTTAGAATTTGTTATATATTTTCATTTATTATTTCAGGAATAAAATTTCCAAATTTTATAACTCACAATCTTGTTACAATCATGGTTTAATTTTTTCAAAAAAGAAAAACTAAAATTATATGTTAACCAAATTCAAAACTGAACAAACCAAAATTTTGGACAAAAAAAAAACTAACCAAAATTTTGATCCAAACTAACTGAAATAACCAAAATTATTAAATCAGTTTTAAACTGAAAATTTAACAGAAACAAGAAAACTTCAGTTAAATTCGGTGAAACATTGACTAAACCGAATGTCAAAACTGAACCGAACCGAACTTGGGTTTGTTACAATTCGGCACAATTAAAAGCAAAACGAACTAACCGAAAATCAAAATAAACCAAACCAAACTAGGAAACTCAATCCACGTGCCTTTGACAAAATGTAAAAAAAAGAAAGAAGAAGAAAGAGTTACGAAAAGGACAGGGCCCCACTCAGATTCAACTATCACCTGTTTTATTTCAATTATCTGTCTTTACCGTCTCTTAATCTCCGATCTCTCACGATTTCCCCTCCATCCTTGGAGAGAGAGAGACGGTAAAGACAGATCCAGTCTTGTCAGAATGAGTTCTGTTTTGTACGATTCCGATTTGTTTAAGCAGCTCAGGTCAATCTTGGGTCCTTACCTAGGCGATTCGGTGTCGGACGACGTCGTTCTCGTGATCTTAACCACGTCTTTGGCGCTGGTAGTTGGGTTCGTGGTGGTGGTATGGAGGAAAACGACGTCGGATCGGGGACAGGAGGTGAAGCCTTTGGTGATCCCCAAGTCTCTTATGTCTAAGGATGAGGATGATGACGTGGATTTGGGATCTGGGAAGACTAGAGTCTCTATCTTCTTTGGTACTCAGACTGGAACTGCTGAAGGGTTTGCTAAGGTTAAAATTGTGAACATTTTTTATGATTCTGGTGATGTTGGATGTGGCTTTATGTTATATGAATAGGGTTTATCTAGAACTTGTTGAGAGATTGAAATTTAATTCCATGAGATTGTGATTCAAAGGTTTTGTCTTTATGAATTGGGTCGTTTTCATTTTTTTTTGGTAGGCATTAGCAGAGGAAATCAAAGCGAGGTATGAGAAAGCTGCAGTCAAAGTTATTGACTTGGTATGATTCTGTTCATTACCGGTTAGAGGCTAGTTTTTAATCACTGGATTTGATTTGGTTATCATGGTTTTAATTAGGATGACTATGCTGCCGATGATGACCAATATGAAGAGAAGTTTAAGAAGGAGACTTTGTCATTCTTTTGTGTTGCTACGTAAGACTCATTCAGTTATTAGTTTCTATTGCCTAGATGCCCTTCAAGAGTTTGGTAGATTCAGTTTTGTTTTTGTTTATAACATGTTTAGTTATGGAGATGGAGAGCCTACTGACAACGCTGCCAGATTTTACAAATGGTTTACAGAGGTTTGTACCCTTTTCCCTCAGATTTGATATGCTGTTCATATCTTTTTTCAGGACTCAATTGTTTTGTGTTTTATGTTTCCAGGGAAATGAAGGGGATATAAGGCTTCAACAATTAACTTATGGTGTGTTTGCTCTTGGTAATCGCCAATATGAACATTTTAATAAGGTAGTGTGTCAAGAAAATGAATCTGCTTCTAGTTTATACATTTTCTTCCGGCCTTAACTGATGGTAATTTGATCTCGTGAAACAGATAGGGATAGTTCTTGATGAAGAGCTCTCTAAGAAAGGTACGTGAGTGTGTTTCCATAATTTTCACCTCTTATCTAGTGCTAGTTATTAGAAAGAGACTGTAGGAACATATTAATGTGATGTTTACCTATGATGATAATTGCACTGGATGTTTTCTATTTTCCTGTTGGGTAATGTAATAAGTCTGGTCGCATTGAATGCAGGTGCGAAGCGTCTTCTTGAAGTTGGTCTAGGAGATGATGACCAGAGCATTGAGGATGATTTTAATGCCTGGTGTGTTTCTGATTCTCTGTTGGAATATTAGTATAGAAGGGGAAGCTTCAGAGTTGGTTTGATCAGTTTTGTTCTCAGTTGGGGATTTATTTGATCTCTACGCTGTATTATTTATATATTTGGGTGGTTTGCAGGAAAGAATCGCTGTGGCCTGAACTAGACAAGCTCCTCAGAGACGAGGATGATACAAGTGTGGTAACTCCTTATACAGCTGCTATTCCTGAATATCGTCTGGTGATTCATGATCCTAGTTTCACTTCTGAGAAATCAATGGACTCGAATGTTGCCAACGGAAATACTGTTATTGACATTCATCATCCCCGCAGGTATGTGAAGATCCGTGTAATAACTAATTTGAACACAGTGTTACCCTTTTCTGGTTGCATTCTAAAGTTTGTTTATTTTTGGGAAACAGAGCTGATGTTGCTGTGCAGAAAGAGCTTCACACACCAGAATCTGATAGGTCTTGTATTCATCTCGAGTTCGACATATCTGGCACTGGTATTACGTAAGTACTTAACACTGATCTGATGTTTAAGTTAACGGCAGATCATGTAAGGATCCTTTACAAAATGAATGGCATTTCTTGGCAGATATGAAACAGGAGACCATGTAGGAGTATATGCTGAGAATCATGCTGAAATAGTTGAAGAAGCTGGGAAATTGCTTGGCCATTCTCTAGATTTATTATTTTCCATACATGCTGATAAGGAAGATGGCTCACCATTGGGAAGCTCGTTACCCCCTCCCTTCCCTGGTCCATGCACACTTGCTACTGCTTTGGCAAAATACGCAGATCTTTTAAGCCCTCCTCGCAAGGTTATCTTGTGTTCGTTTTGAAATTAGCATCACATAGCTTTTTCTGTTGGCTTTGATTTTGGGTTGTTCACAAAATTTGTTCTTCTGGTTTCAGTCTACGTTAGTTGCCTTGGCGGCGTATGCCACTGAACCAAGCGAAGCCGGGAAACTTAAACACCTGACATCACCTGATGGAAAGGTTCTGAATATCTATTTTTCTCTTAAGTGTTAAGTTTACGTGAGTTAACATCCTCAGAGTTCTTTTTTTTTGGCTGTAGGATGAATACTCACAATGGATTGTTGCAAGTCAGAGAAGTCTTTTAGAGGTGATGGCTGCATTTCCATCTGCAAAAGCCCCACTAGGTGTGTTTTTTGCCGCAATAGCTCCTCGTCTACAACCTCGTTACTACTCCATCTCATCCTCCCCGAGGTGATTATTTACTTTTGAAATACCAGTTGTTGGCGAAAAGAAAACTAGTCTTGAGCTTCTCTGTCGTCTCTTACAGGTTGGCGCCAAATAGAGTTCATGTCACATGCGCACTAGTATACGGTCCAACTCCTACTGGTAGAATCCACAAGGGGTTGTGTTCGACCTGGATGAAGGTGAGAATCTCACCTTCATTTTATTTGACTATCTTTCAGTTCGATTTTTTGGTATTAATATCTTTGAAAAACTCAGAATGCAGTTCCTGCGGAGAAAAGTAGTGAATGCAGTGGAGCACCAATCTTTATCAGAGCATCTAATTTCAAACTACCATCCAAGCCTTCGATTCCAATCGTTATGGTGGGACCTGGGACTGGACTGGCACCTTTTAGAGGGTTTCTGCAGGAGAGGATGGCACTAAAAGAAGATGGAGTCGAACTAGGTCCTTCTTTGCTCTTCTTTGGGTGTAGAAACCGACGGATGGTGAGACTTTTATTACAATTGATGCACCATTTTCCATCAGAACTGTCATCATGTTTGAGATGCTGCTGCTTCGTGTATGACTTGTAGGACTTTATTTACGAGGATGAACTCAATAACTTTGTTGATAAAGGCGTAATCTCTGAGCTGATAGTGGCATTCTCTCGTGAGGGAGCACAGAAGGAGTATGTTCAACATAAGATGATAGAGAAGGTAAGCTGCATAGCATCAGGCTTTGGTGAAAAGGGAAATGTAAAGTAATCACTTTTGCATTTGATTTTGTGTTCAGGCTGCACAAGTTTGGAATCTGATAAAGGAAGAAGGATATCTCTATGTATGTGGTGATGCTAAGGGCATGGCGAGAGATGTGCATCGGACTCTACATACGATTGTTCAGGAGCAGGTAATGGAATGAGCAGTGTGAATCATGTAAGTTGAAAGACTGATACCAACTATATTTTTATCTTATAAATCTCCAGGAAGGCGTGAGTTCGTCAGAGGCAGAGGCTATAGTTAAGAAACTTCAAACTGAAGGAAGATACCTCAGAGATGTCTGGTGATTAATGATGTACTACTAGTAGCTGGGAATCTTCAGCTTCTTCTTGTTTTTGAGCTTTCTTAATAAGAAGGCTGTTGTTAACAATTAGATATTGAATTTTTATTTTCCTTTATTTTCTTATTATAGTCAAACATTAAAAAGTTTGTCAAAGTGTCTTTGTAAGGAACAGAAATATGAAAGTGGTGAAGAACTATACAGTCCAATAAATCTGGAGAGTGAAAAGATTTTAGTTTCGTACTTTATATTATCTACTAATATTCCGCCCGTGCTATACACAAATTAATCGATGCTCCTAAACTTTATTTGACCAAGTTATAATTTTAAATCAGACTAAATTACTATTTTTATCAAATATTTTTATGACAGTCCCACATAATACTAAAAGTGATGTAGATCACAATGTCTGGAAAAACACATCAGGATCGAATTAGTTACAAGTTCAGCCACCTGAAAGATATGTGGTTGCCACGCAAGAAAGATGTAGCAGTGTTGAAGAAATAATAAAAAAAGGGCTTATTTGCCAAATAACAAAAAAAAAAAAAGGAAAACTAATACTTCTTGCTGTTTTGTAGATGGATCTTGGACATCACCAAAGAGTAAAGCTGGAATTGGTTGGGCTCTATTCAATCCTGAAGCAAAGATTATAGTGGAAGAAAAAGCAGCAATAGAACCAATCAATTTTCCACTAGAAGCAGAAGCTGAAGCATTGAAAATGGCCGTAATTCAAATGAGGAACTCGGATATCACAAAGTCACTTTCATTGGCGATTCCTTTGATCACTATGATACACTCGCAAAACAATCTCACCAAGTTTGCCACAGCATCCTAAAAGGAACTCATTGTCCAACTCACATGAAGGATATTGCAAATCTGGCAAGAGGGAATGGATACAACTTCTGCTTTCAAAAAAAATTAATTTTTTTGTAATTCTGTTGCAGACAATTTAGCTAAAGAGGGTAGGATTAAAACCTTAAGCTATGTTGTAAGTTGGAAAGATAGCATGTAACATATCCTAATGTTTAATAACAAAGTTGACGACAAAAAAAAAACTATTGAAAGGGATAAAAACAATTAAACATAAAAATATATTAAAATAAATAAATAAACTATGGATACATGTTTGCAACACTTTTCAAAAATAAATAAAATACATATTTTAAAATATAAAATATATTTTAAATAATTTATACCTTTATTTTTCTATGATATCAGAATAACAAATACCTAATTTAACTTACTATAAATTTGAAACAATAACCATAAAATTATATCAAAAATGGATTCATGTTTGCAATACTTTTCAAATATACCTAAAATACATATTTTAAAATATAAAATATATTTTAAATGATTTATACCGTTATTTGTCTATGATTTCAGATTAACAAATATCTAATTTAACTTACTAAAAAATTTAAACTTTTGTGCGTCGAATAAGTTTATTGTTTTAGTTGTTTAATATTTATAGTTTGAAACAAAGATTTCATTAACACTTCATGATAGTTACCTAATATTTTTTTCTAAATGCACACAGTAAACAATATTTACCCAAATTACTTATTTTTATAGTTTGTTGGAGTTTTAGGATTAGAATTCACAAGTTTAAATTGTGTTTTATTAAATGTTTTCTTAAATTATTATTGAAGGCTTTTAAGAAATTATTGTTTTATCTACACATTTGATGCTTTTAGATAGTCCTTAACACTATTAAAAGACATGAAATTTCCAAAATTAATAACAGAAAAATGAGAAAAAAATGTTTTTGAGTTAATACTTGATTTTGGCTAAAAACCTAAGACTCTTATATATTTGATGGTCAAACAACCAGTTAAAGCATTAAAGATTTAAGCCATGTTATTTTCCGAAGGACTATAAAGTAATAAAATTATTTTCACAAATTTTAAATGGTCAAAGGTTTTACATCTAACCTCCGTAAACCATTCGGTGATGCTTCTTCCAAATCAGCATGAGCTTTTATTCTTTTCAAAATCAACTCTGAGTTTTTTCATAAATAATAAGCGATAAAAAATTTGAACTGATAAGAAAAGTTAACAGACTGCACATCATCCTTCTTCCTTTTAAAAATCAGATAGTAACAAATTTTGGGATAAGTTGTAACGAGTCAACCACTTGCACACAATATCTTATTTCAAAGTTTAACTGAAATAATTTTTATATTCATAACCTTTCTTTTATTTTTGCTCAAAATTTTCTTATATTTTACTTATGATTTTTTTTTTTATTTTAGTTGTTTTTTTCTTTCAATGTACATATAACCTTTTAAGATTATTAAATTTTACCTTTTAGTTTACACTTACTGATTTTATTTGAAGTATCTTTATATATAAAGAAAAAGAAACTCTCTTCTCCTTAACCCACCTCAACATATGATGTCACAAAATAGACTCTTTTATATTGTGACATTTGTCCACAAAGTTAAACAAAACGGATCAACACATGTTGGGCCTCGGCCTAATGTAAATTCGGTAGCCCATTAGGTTGTTTTTGTTACTGTGACGCATAAGTTAATTAGGGATTCTGAAGCTTATCTCTCTTAGCCGTCGAGTTTTTCTTCCTCCTAACCGATCAGACGCGATCGATTCGTATTCCCTGATCATCTTAACTCTGTCATTTATCGCTCTTGATGTGATGTTACCTATAAAGTGGTGACCTTCTCCGTTCTCGATTTCCATTCCAAAACACTAAATCTCTGTAGAAAATTTCAGCTATGGTTCACATGACGGTTTTTTTATCCGATCTCCAGGCCGGACGTTCCTCCTCCACCGTCCAAGTCCGTCTGCTTCGCTACTGGGAAGACAGGAACTTCCGCCGTGGTGGAGAGCTCATGGGTGTGGACATGCTCCTCTTGGATTCCCAGGTGATGATTTTGAATCCCCTTCTGTTGTGTTTAATCGATTGAGTGCTGGAAAATCGTTTAATTTTACTATGATTTTGGTTGCTCGATTTATATATTATCCATCTGATTTTCGTTTGATGTGTAGATCTAATAAATATTTTGATTTTAATGAGTATTAGCATCCGTTAGAAGGTATTCTATGTTTGGTTTTACGATCTGGGTTTAGTGGTCGAGTTTTAATGTTATTATCAGTATTGATTCTGTATCTGGTACAATTAGTCAGACATTCACGTTTTGGTTGTTTCATATTATAGGGTTACATGACATATTATTATGACTATCTCTGTTCTTATACAAGGCTATCTGTTTATTTTGACCATTTGACATTTATATGATATATAATAAATGTCATTTTTGTTCGATTGGTTGCTAAGTTCCTATATAGATATTAGTTTAGTTTAATTTTATGGTTTGGCATTAGTTTTTTTTTAATACTTACCATGAGAAGGTATCAGACCTATATAAGCTTTTCATATATTCTCTAATCGATCTCCTCCTCAGTTTTCAACTCGAACGTCCAACATAATAGTGATTATGTCTATTTCAAGAGTTTACTTATATGACCTGAAAACTGGCGGTTGCTCATCGGTTGTAGAGATTAGGCTGTTGCGTTTCTGGGAGGTGAGAAGCAAGAGGCGTGGAGGTGAACTGATGAGAGTTGACATGCTTCTGGTGGACACGAATGTGAGTTTATGGCTTTGTTATCGTTTTCTTACAAAATTACATCATTATTTTCAGAAACGGAGATTTCCAATGGTTTAAACATTCTGATATATATTTTAATTCTGCATCTCAGACGACTATGATGCAGGCCTCCGTCAATTCACACAGGATCCCAAAATTCCGGGAAACTCTCACTGCCGGCAAGATGTTTACTCTATCAAGTTTTGATGTTGTCTCATGTACTCGGAACCTCAAGATCACCGAATCACCTTTCATTATTCGGTTCAATGATTATACTGAATTCATTGAGATGACCACCCCGTCCTCTCCCTTGCCCTTGGAAGCGTTCCGTTTCCTTTCTGGAACTGAGTTACTCAGACTTGCTAATACAAATAGTCAGCTCACGGGTATTGTACTAGGTTTAGTGATATCCTATATAATTGATTATTTAATATATTAATATAATTTCGACGTAGATGTTGTTGCTGAGGTTATTGGAATGAAAAGGAACGTGAGAAATCCTCCAAAGAAAAAAAATCATCTCATGACAACAATTAATCTTGATAGGTAATCCATCTTACAGAGTTTTAAAGCTATTCAATAATAACATATTGTATATAAGGACAACACTAACTTAGTTATAATAATTACAGCGGTCTCTCTGTTACATTGAGTTTCTTCGACTCTCAAGCTATCACTATGCAGAAGAGACTTGATTCAATGTGTGCTGGTCCAAAGGTGATTGTAGCCACAAACCTGAATCCAAGAACCGTAGGAGGTATATAAATAATAATATTTGGTTGTCTGCGAACAATGATTGCCTTTTAATATACTTTTGTATAAACTGCATCTGTGTAGGCAAATCGTTCCTCAACGCCACTACCGGTACACACGTTTATTTTGACAAAGAAACATGTGACGGAGAAGCGTGCTTTACCAGGTTTGTTCGACGTCTTATACATCTACTATTGTCCTCATATACATTATCCTAATGCAATATGTCATTCATAAATAAAATAAAAATAATGGTGATCTTATTAGTACGCAAAAATAATATTATACGCTGTGTCAGTTCATAAGTAGATATGAAATGCAAGGTTTAAAATAGCATAACGGTTTAGCTGTTTACATTCACTGTATAGAAATATAGTAACGTTTCTTGTGTGTTCTCCAATTTGAACTATTTTTCATATATTCATATGAGAATTAATATGATCAGGTCTCCTAAGTATAGATATGTTTTTTAATTTAGGTATAAAAACTCGATATACCAAACATACAAAAAAATGACTCAAGATAATGGTTTAAACTTGTGGATATGCTTTATACGTATTATGATGCATCATGCTTTACAAATTTATGATTTCATTATTGTATTTTATTAAAATTTCACGTGTATTGCCAGTTACAAGAAAAAACAAATAATATTTTTAGAAAGAAAAACAATTCACGCTAAGAAAAAAAAACAACTTAAACATAATAACCAACATTAATGACATGAAGTATTGACCCAAACTCTAAAACACGTAATAATAACAACAAACATTATTCATGGCTTATCAGTTTTTCCTAGAGAGAATTATTATTTACGTAACAATTACACTTTTTAAACCGAGAAAATATCTCACATGTAACTGTAGACATAAAACCATATAAATATGTTGGTATATGTTTTCTATTACAACAACCTACCAATACATCCTTTTACATAAATATGGAACCAGATCAAGATTATTCACTATTTTTTGAAACAGAAACACATCATGCGACATATGGTGCTACAAGGATGCTCACAATCAATATCCACCGGTTCAATACCAATGAAGACAACATTTCAATTCCTCTGGAATTTGCAACTACAAATGTTGGATCCCTTACGGATTCAACATTTACAGTCCTCCAATATACGCTCATATGTCAGAACATCAGCACTTATTCTTCCCTGAGAATTGCTGAGAAAACGTCAACATACGTATCGGAAATGGTTTCGTCTCTCAACAACTATGAACAAACAAATGTACACATTATTTTACATTTGACTCATTTTAATCCTCCTTCACTTTACATGATGGAGATACAAACTGCTGCATCAGTTGTGGAATCTGATGTGACGATACAAACAACAAAAGATGAGTACGAAGAATGTACCATATGCATGGACATAATTTCAGAGGGTCAAAATATGAATTCATTGCAATGTGGTCAAATATATCATCATGAATGCATCACTAATTGGGTCAAAATCAACGATAGTTGTCCTCTATGTAGAGAGACAATCTTTTAAATAACATGTACCGAACTTTAGGAGAAAATAACCTACAGGTTTTTTATGTTATGTTCTACTCATAAGTACTTTATTTTATCTTCTAATAAATTGTTTTCAATATTAAGAAATCGAATTTTTAATTTTCTATACTAAAAATTATTTTTTCATAATTAAAAAATTATTACATTATGATCAAAATTATATATTTCATAATTTCCTAATCATGATTTAGCTGTGATTATAATTTATAAGGATGACCAAATAGCAAATATTGTAAATTAAAATTTTAGTAATATTGTAAACATAACACCAACTAAATTAGAAAAAGCAACAATAAATTGAAATATTAATATAAAAAATTATAATATATCAAGTTCTGAAAATTGTAAAAGTTTTCGAAATTGTTAATTAGATAAACTTATTCCGTTTAATCTTTTCTAATAGAACCATATATGTAAAATATAAAAATTAATCAACGCATGCTCATAACATCTTCCACTGAGTAATAAACCACATTCGTTATCCACTAACTTTCAGTAAATATATAGCGCCAACTTACTTAGCTTTAATACTAACATCGACATCGAGTGCTATATAAAATGCATTCATAAAATGTTTCATATCATATCAAACTCACCAAGAAAAACTAAGGATTAAAAAAATTCAAGAACTAAGCCCACATCACATGATATTTTATAACAAATGCCATAATTTTTGTTTTGTTGACACAAATGATAAACTCTAACAACGAAAATAACTATTCCCAAACTTAAAGATTAAGTATACTGAATTAAAACTACAACCATATAAAAACCATAAAATTACCTTAAAATCCATACGCACGGAATGTTAAAATCTCAAAATAGGTATTAATGAAGTTTGGAATCTCACGAATATTAAACTTATAATATTAAACCATATGCTTTATGAAATAAGTTTCAAAATGTAAAATATACAATAATCACTATGCTACACAATATATCATCCGTATATATCACACACAAACAAACACACTAATAAACAACAATATAAAATATAAATGGTCCAAGAATAAAAATATAAAAATAAAATAAAAAAAACGCTGAAGGCCGAACAAAAAATAAGTTGACAGATAAAAAAATGGAATAAAATTGACTACATAGAAATCACATCCCGCGCGTAGCGCGGACCTCGCCTAGTAAGTATATATAGTTTACTAAAAATTTAAACTCATTGTAAAGATGAAGTATCTATTTTATGTGTTTTCTATCATTTATAAAATTGAAAATATGTTTATGAAAATGAAAATTGAAGACTTTAACTTTTTCAGAAAATGATATTATACAATAATTTAATGCTAAACATAAAAATTGTATAGAAAGCAATATAGAAAACAGTACTTAATTTCTTAAAAATAATATTTTATAAATTTCAAGGAGGTGAATGTTATTATTTGGTTTAAGATCATAGTATATTTACAATAATGTATAATAATGATATATTTCGTATTTATTTAAATAATAGGATTATTTTATAGACTTGAATCGGTTTGGATTCTATACATTGGGTCAGTTTGAATCGGTTTGGATAGTTGGTTCGGTTCATTTTCTTCCCCACCACTACTCAAAATAGAAACGATAATGACAAAACTAACAATAGCCTCTACAAATTCAAAACCGGTTCATAACTATACCAAAAATAAAAAACCTGGTTCGTAATCAACCGTAATTTCAATTAAACTAGGTTAATAAAAATAATCATGAAACCAGACCGGAATAAAATCTCGATTGGATCCGTCTCTCTATATCAAAAGCTGTTACGACTCTCGCCATGATACCCTTTCATGATCTGAGTCTAATCAAGACTTGGTTCTTGATGAAGAACTTAAAGTGGTGAGGTTTCAAGATCTACACATTAGTCATTCATGTAAAGGTTTACTCTTTATGAAAGTAAATAGCCCATTGAGTTATGTTTTGAGTTTAGGTAGAGACTAGAGAGTGCTTTGAGGCAGAATTTTAAGTCATACAGTGTGGCGTCATAGGTACGGATACTATTTGAGTAAAATATATGACTGTCTGAACCAGTGGCTCAATTAGCTAAATAGAAAAGATAAAACGACTAACAATAGCCTCTACAAATACAAAACGGGTTCATAATTATACCAAAAATTTAAAGTTCGGTTCGTAATTAACCATAATTTCAATTTAACTAGGTTAATAAAAATAATCATGAAACCATACCGGAATAAATCTCGATTGAATCCGTCTCTCTCAATCAAAAGCCATTACGAGTCTTGCCAGGTTTGTTGGAACTATCGCAGGTGAAAAATTATGGAGATAGCAACTTTCTATTAAGGGAGCTTTGCGTATTCATGTACGTCTTTCAAGCTTGCTTGCAAGTAAGGCTGACTGGTTCATGCCAAATGAAAAGATTCCTGGAGAATATAAAATTGTACATGCTATTTTTACAGACGAAGATGACCAAAGTGGGTGGTTCTATCATCTTTGGCTTCTTGATCAAACTGTTAACGTGGAGACTCCTCTTCTCACTCACTCATGGCCTTCACATGGTTCTCTAATCAATCTATCTTCACAATATGTTAACGGTCACTATGATAAAATCCTCGATCTGTATAATGAACTAATGACGCTGGATTCTACGCACTATCATTACTACAAGGATGAGCACAGCGTAGCTTTACTCCACAAGGTACTAATCATGTACATTATATGGTTCGATTTTAGATGTTTCCGAGTATGCATAGTAATCATAAAGAGAATGTTCATGCAGGTGACTTCAAGCACTAAATCCTTGTCAAGACACCTCTTTCGATACAGAGATATGAACAATTCTGTTTGTCTACGGCTAAGTAATTTCCTGGATAGCATCTGTTGAGAAGTTGCTGTATGTTCAAATGTTAGACCTCAGCTTCATTCGACTGAAGGTAAGTTACTTACATGCTTATGTCCTCTTACTTTAGATGTTGCATCTGTGATAAAATTATGTGTATATGTGTCATAGGATTGGAGGCAATTCAACTTCTCTCTTGCCTAAATCTGAGTCACAACAAAATCCGGAGTTTTTCAGCACTGGACTCTCTAAGACATTTGAAACAGCTGAGTGTATTGGATTTTTTCACACAACCACATCGGTGAGCACTCAGTTGACACAACGAGGTACCTTTGTTCTGCACCGCATGAAGTTGGAAGACATATGCCTAGTCTGGTCACCAAATACTGGGATGCGTATTTTGTGTTAAGACATTTAAATCTGAAAAAGTTGGATATAGCAGAGAATGTAATTGCAGGGAAGGAGTTCAGTACTTTTGTCCCACAGGTTGTGCCAAAACTTATATTGAAAAGTCTACAATAGGTGAAACCAATAAGAACACAAGGGATTCAAGACCAACTGTCTCTTTATTAAGAATCACTTAAACAACCTTATACAAAGACTTGTCTAATCCGAATTACACAACGCCACACACGGCTTACCACATACCAATTCTTAATCTACCCTTTGCGTGAACCAACCCCTGTTGATCACGTTTACAAATCACTCACTTCCTGAAACCCCAAAACCCTTGTCTGTGTTTCTGTGAGAATACAACGTTGAAAGCTTAACCAAATCCTAAGTCTCAGCTTTCCTATATATCGCCACCAATCTTTTCTAATTGTGCAATATATATTTTCCTAAAATTCAGCATCCCCAAATCTTCCAATTTGTGATCTGAGGATCTTCTAGTTTGTGAATCACGTCCAAACAAGATCAGCTATTGAAAATTCTCCACGTCACCACGCTTTAGTTCTTCATTCCACGTAGATGTGTTACACACTATCGTCCATGTGTAACACAATCGCAACACTCCAGACTCCAAATCCTTGAATATGTACGAACCATACTCCAATGAATCATGTCAATCAATACTCTCTATGTGTAATTGCATAAACATGTCAGGCTCCAAATCCTTGAGCTTACACTCTCCCCCTTTTTATCTGAATATGTCAATCTCTGAATCTGCAAGCATCAACTCAAAAACACACAACCAGTGAAGCGCTGAAGCAATATAATTCACTAAACCGTTAGTCACAGAATAATTTGTGAGCTTCTCAATTCTCAAGCAGGTACAGTGTAAACATTTCTACAAGAGTTCTAGATAGCTAATCAATATTTTACACGAGATTCTACCCCTGCTTGTAACCATATTACCAAATTCTACTTGATTGCATATTCTTGTAAAACTAACCGGTTCACACAGAGAAAACTTACCTGGAGTCACACGAGTCGCATGACCATGAGTGACATTTATCTATTGGCTATCATTCGTAGGAATATGGAGATACCTTATAAGACTCACTCAAAAGATCTTTGTTAGTAAAAAAAACATCAACAGTTATAAGGACAGTCTAGGCCCAAGATTCACTTTAGATAAAAAACAGAGATTCAATTTCATTTAGACACTGACGTGTAAAAGACATAGCAAGCTGAGTTCAACACATCTGCAAAGAATATATATAAGGATCCCATGATAATCACTTAGCATGAACATCTGAGATAATTAAATTAAATTAAATGAATTTACAAAATTGAGTTTTGATAACTCCCATGTGTCTGGAAGATTGATCAGCATCAACCTTATCACATATTTCATCACAAAAGGCGATTAAAGAAATCAACTTGTCAGCACAAACCTGTAGCTATTTCTCATCCGAGTAGCTGTCACAAGTTCCTTTCTAGAAACAAACCGATTCCACTTGACTGGGATCATGATCACAACGTTTGCAGGCAACACGATGGATATCTTGTGTTCCTACCTCTTCCTCTTCAGTAGTGTTTTATTCATGTTCTTTTCAGAGGATCAAAGTAAAAGAATCACCTCTGCCCAATCAAGACAGTGATCAACGTCAAATACAAAATGTGTTGCATCTTGATTCAAATCGAGTGTCTATCACATTGGGCCTTATTAACTTTTTCCTTTTACAGTGTGTAAAACTTTATGTTCTTTGCAGAACACATCTTTAATTTTTTTTTTCAATAAACCTCAGCACGTGTTACACTCATCCTCTCCCGTGTTACTTCGTTCAATCCAGACAGTGATCAACACTAGAACCAAAATGTGATGCATCCTGTTCCGAGATGAGTGTCTTTCTTCTGTGAACTGCTATGATCAGACCCAGTCATCGTAGCTTCTGTTATTAGCATGAAAAAAACTTGCTGACAAGAGGTTTTAGTGTGACTCAATATACAATTTAGCTATACACATAACCTTCTCTCAAAGACAAACAGATTAGAGATCAGAGATTCCAAGGGCTTTTTGAATACACAAAAAACCATTGAATTCAGGTAATATAGTGACTATGTCAACTAGTTTATTCTCAGATGCAACATGTTCAATGACAACAAGTTTTTCCTCAATCAATTCTCTAACATGATGATGTATACTTTCTACTTGCTTAGTCAATGATAATTGAAGATGATTCAGGACTACAAAGACGACATTCAAGTTATTGCAGTGAATATCAAAAGGGTCAAAAAGACTAACATACTCAACGTGTATTGATCTCTTTACCAGTATATGAGTCCACAATTTCCTAAAGACTATGTATTCCATTTCAGCAAGACAATGTGACGCTTTGTGACACAACATCAAGGTATCCTTGTCCAAGTACCACGTACAATTGACATCACATACTCATGTCATCATCATGTTAGTGTCAGAAGAATTATGTAGATTAAGCTTAAGGACACCTCTCACATGGTTACTGATTTCTTCGACAACAAGTGGGTGTGATGCTCCTGAAGTAGCTTGCCATGGGGTGCATATGTCAGTGGTAAGACTGAGATCTGATCGCCTGATATTGAGGGAAAGCAAGCTCCCACTTTACTCTGGTGTATAACACCTTCGTCTCCGTATGTTACATCTTTATGTGACAGGCTCTCTGTTGCATAAGCTTTGTCTCCTTGATCACCATGACCTGAAGTTTCCGTTTCTCTTCTCAACTTTTCTTCCTTTTTAAGGTGAGATTGAGACAAATTGCATACAAACTCTTCGGTAGCTTTGTTTCTACCCAAGTGTGATAAAGCATGCTTAGGATGTAGCTCATGTCTAGCATGTCTTCTGAACTTAGGATATAGATCTCTTTTAGCAATCCACACATGTCCACACTTCTTAGGTTCTATGAAGCACAAATATATTCTCCAAGCACGTTCATACTGTTGTCTGCGAGAGTAACAGAATCTGACGTTATGACCACGTTTACCCCAGAAATGACAGCCATCCCTTCTTCTACTAGGATTAGTTTTGTGTTTTGTATCAACGTTTACCACAACATTTTTGATTTCCTCTGGTTTCTTGTTCTCATGTGCTCTCGGTGCCTCTTTCACAAACGAAATTAGTTCTCTTTCTTCAGCTGATTTAGATGTAGCACCACGAAATCCAAGACCCCAGTTTGTACTCAAATACTGTCCCAAGGTTAGAAGATGATCAAGCGTTGAAATACCAATATTAAGCATTCTCATCTTCTTGTTGTTCTGAGTGAGCTGGCTCTCAAGTAACCTGCTCTTGTCCCTCTCTTGGACCAGTAGATCATTTAGCTGATTGAGTTTTAACTCAGATTGTTGATGAACTATTTCTTGTTCAGTCATTGTTCTCTTGAGAGACCGTGTTTCCTGATCAGATTCGGTGTGGTCTGAAATCTGAACCGTAGGTTGTTCTAATTTGAGTATGTTTACCTGAGCCTTTAACATAGCTTTGCCTTTGAGTAGCTGCAGATTCTCAAGACTCAGCTCAGCAAATTTACCAAAGAGAGTCTTATACTCTATCTCGAGGTCTTGATCAAAGTCATCATCCTCCTCTTCATTTTCTGAATTCTCAGTTGACTGAAGTTTCTTCTCATCTTCTTGTCCGATCAATGCCACAAAATTCAGCAGTAGTTCCTCGCCATCATCTTCTTACCAAGGACAGTAGCTTTGTTGGCGACTGAACTGATCTTAGACACAAAGCTAACAACGAATTCATCATCTTCCATTCGAAGGTTCTCAAATCTTGAAGCTAAGTGATCAATTTGGGTTCTTCTCACATTTGTGTCACTTTCAAACTAATTAACCAGAACATCCCATGCCTCCTTCGCTGATTCACAGCCTTAAATAATCTTGAACTGGTCCAAGTTAACTGCTAAAAATATCATAGTAAGTTCTTTGGAGTTGAATTTTGATGCAGCTTTTTCAGATTTTGTCCATCTCTCCTTCGGTTTGGGAGCATATGTTTCATCTTCCATGAGTATAGTAGGTGACGACCAGCCTATCTCAACAGCAGTCCAGACGTCTTCATCTATTCCTCGTATGATATGTCGCATACGTGACTTCCAATGGCCAAAACTCCCTTCATCCAACATGTAGGGACTCGGTAGGGTGATGAATTCTTTCATGGTTTCAAAGTCTTCTTCCGCAGGATCTCAACCTGTATATGAATGAATAATCCAACGAGGTGACCCGTTCTGATACCAATTGAAAAGTCTATAACAGGTTGAACCAATAAAAACACAAAGGATTCAAGACCAACTGTCTCTTTATTAAGAATCACTTAAACAACATTTTACAAAGACTTGTCTAATCTGAATTACACAACGCCACACACGGCTTGCCACGAACCAATTCTTAGTTTATCCTTTGTGTGAACCAACCCTTGTTGATCACGTTTACAAATTACTCATTTCCTGAAACCCCAAAACCCATGTTTGTGTTTCTATGAGAATACAACGTTGAAAGCTTAACTTAATATAAGTCTCAACTTTCCTATATATCGCCACCAATCTTTTCTAATTGTGCAATATATCTTTTTCTAAAAATCAGCATCACCAAATCTTTCAATTTGTGATATGAGGATCTTCTAGTTTGTGGATCATGTCCAAACAAGATCAGCTAATGAAAACTCTCTATGTCACCAAACTTTAGTTCTTCATTTCACATAGATGTGTTACACACTATCGTCCATGTGTAACACAATCGCAACACTCCAGACTCCAACATCCTTGAATATGTACGAATATGTACGAACCATACTCCAATGAATCATGTCAATCAATACTCTCTCTGCGTCATTGCACCAATATGTTAAGCTCCAAATCCTTGAGTTTATAAGTGTGGCTCGATGGCCAGAAACTTAGGAGTTAGATCATAGGCCAAGTTTGTTAACTTTAATTTATAGATCATTAACTCCCCAAAGCTATTTGGATTCTCTTGATGATGCTTTGTTTTTGTGGTTTGTTTCTCAACAGTCTTGTTATGTGACCTTGTATAATGGCTCTGCACCCTTTATTTACCACATTTTGATGGCGCTTACAAAGCTCGCAAATTACAGCATGCACACATTAATTCTCTATAGGGTTTTAGGTCGACGATGCATCATCGGTCCATGTCAAGGTGAGACATGTGTGAGAGTGTTGGAACTTGGAACCTTGCCATTCACTATATATGTATCAAATACTGTTTTGACATATAAATTTTGATGGACAAAATAAACCCACTAAGGAAAAGGCCCATAACAACAATAATCGTTGGGGTTTTGCTTGTGTGGATGAAAAGTTGCCAACTTGGAGGATGAGGATTCTTGTTTCCCATGTCCAAAGAGTTTCCGTGCTTCAGTTCATCTGCTTCTCGCAATCTCAAAGCCACTCTCTGACACAGGTAAAACTCAAAATCCTACAACAAAATATTCCCTTGTTTTTTTTTCAAACATGAAGATGCCTTATAATTCAGATATCTTAAGCTTGTGGTTTTGTTTTGGGTTGCCTGTGTTCATCCCACTGGGACGCCCAGTAAAATCTCTATGTGTATCAACATGTATTGAGTTATACAACTGGTTTAGTCACAGTTATGTTTCTGTACAATGCATGTATTTGTACATTTCTGATTAGTCTTTAGTTAGTGAGCTTGCGTTTACATGTTGTTTTGTAACAACTCCTTTGCATATTTTCTCTCTGATATGGTTATTCTTTTTGAGTTTTTTTCAGATTTCTGATCAGTGTCTAGGAAAAATCACTGCGAAAAACTCAACCAAATCATTCCATTGCTCTGCTTTTGACACTCATTTCCAATGCTGAAGCAGAACATTCTTCATTTGGAATACATAAGATGTGGCAACAGACTGGTTAAATCTATAGAAACCAGTGCATTTCGTAGATGGATGAGTAGCAGCAATGGTGTCAGACTGTCGTTTCCAAGAGCTGAAGCTTCTTCATCCATGACTATAATAAACAAAAGCTGCACGTGGAGAGTGAATAGCTTAGGACAGGAGATCCAAGCGGACTTAAGTGATGAAAACGAAGAAGAAGAAGATCTATGTCCGGTTGAGTGTGTAACTGAGTTCAAGACAGATGATGAACTTGTCAGAGTCCTGGAGAAAGCCAAAGAGAATAACACTCTGGTTGTGGTTGATTTCTACCGTCCTTCATGTGGTAGCTGTAAATACATAGAGCAGGGCTTCTCAAAGCTATGCAAGCAATCTGGTGACCAAGAAGCTCCCGTTATCTTTCTGAAGCATAATGTAAGAGTATCATACATACTCTTAAGTATGAATACGTTAACAACTTCAACATTCATTAGTTGCTCAAATGATTTGCAGGTGATAGATGAATATGATGAACAATCTGAAGTCGCTGAAAGGCTGCGTATCAAGGTACGTGAACCCTCTTTGCAATCTTGGTATCTAACAACAACAATCACAAAAAGAGAGATTTGATTCACTACAGTCTACTATCTACAGTCGGTTCCTCTGTTCCACTTCTACAAAAACGGAGTTCTGTTAGAAGCATTTGCAACTAGAGACAAGGAGAGGATTGACGCTTCTATAGCCAAATATACTTACTCTGAATCTTCTAGCACATCGGATTAAACCACACTTTTGGTTCTCTCTCTCAAATCATAGATAATGATGTAAACTATATTGAACAACAGCAACAATCCCCAAACTTGTTGTAAAGATGCATAAAACAGCTCTCATTCTTCTTGCAAGGTATCATACTGAATAAGCAGATGCAACATTTTTCTGATGTTGGTAATTTGATTTAAGATTCGGTTATGGTTTCTATAATACATGTGATGGTGAGAAGATAAGTTCATAGAGAAGAGCAACTGATACTATCATACTACAACGGTTTTCTATCTTCTAAACTCTTATCATAGTATTTAGTGACTGCCTGAAAGATTAGATCTATCCCCATTAGCAAGAGAAACAAAGGCAGAGTGTTCTTCGAAAGTTGCAGGTTCAGAGTTCGAGTTGTTAGCATCGGCATCACAACCCCCAAGCTCTCCCTACAATATCAAACAATGAATTAAGCATTCCTTTTTATGTGTAAACAAAGCAGAGACACAAAAGGATAAAATGCTTACAGGTTGTATTATTGCCATCTGATTCTCTTCTGTTCTCTTAGAGAGATCCCTCAATGTTCCCTGTCAAAAATGTAACAATTTTAAAACGTCAAAACACATAGTAATGTGAAAAAAAAATAGAAAGAGTAGGTGATGATGCATTCATATCACTTTATGAAGATTCGTACGCACCCTGGAAGCCCAAAAGAGTCCACAGGCATTGCAGAGAGTTCTAGGGCCTGAAGGGCCACGTCGCATCATCGGTGTAGACGTGGAGCTAATGCCGCAATGAGTACACCTACGCGTAAGACACATTAACATTTAAAAGTACAACGAGCAAGAAACATTTTGAACACGAATATGTAGAAGCAGTTAAGTGGCAAAAGGCATACGATATTTCTGGACGGCTATCATCCTGTGCACAATCTTGATCTGTGCCCGAGTTATAAGCCCCATCGGTCATCTTTGCAGAGGTGAACTGACCTTTATTACGTGGTTGTCTGGTCAAGACTAAAAAGGTCAGAGTTGTTGAAAAAGTGACGATATCTTATCTCTTGATGGAGAATTTAGACATGCCGATTATTCCTAGTTTAAAGCTAACTATCACACTAACCACAACTAAGTTCTATCCTACTCAACTACAAACATATTCTCATATATAATAACCAAGCCATAGACACTAAAACCTGAGCTACTACATGGTCACCAAACTTCATAACAAAAACAGGGAATTAATTTAAATAGAAGCAGGTTTTGCGTAACCCATAGGCACACAAGTATAACTAAGTATTCACAAAACAGAGCATAGCCACACAAAAAAAAAACAATGAGCTTAACTATACAGGCATACTATGTAAAAGACAACTTTCCAGCTTAGCCTCTTCAAAGAAGTAACCATCATATATAATCCACTTTCCTAACAGACAGACAGAAGCGACATATACAGATAGTATTCAAGCTTTTGCTAAGATCACACGCTACCTTAATACTAAGGCTAAGAGCTTGGTTGAGCTCAAACTAAATTAAACATCGCAAGTGTAGCACCTCAATCTAGAATAATGTAAAAAAAAACTAAAGATGTAAGAGAATAATAAATCTCCCTGACCTTAAAGCCACTTCTTGGCGAACACCATAAATAACTTTCTTATCGAAACATCTAGCATTCCTCTTCTTCCGAAACCTTTCCAAGGACTGTGCCCTTTGCGGATTGCTACACCGGTTCTGATACTCCACAACAGGCTAACAAAACAAACAAACATAGATGAATATAACCATTGTTGCAAAACTTGAAACACACACCAAAACAACAAAAAATGTTACCATATGATTCTGTTGAGCAAACTCCATCCCCTGTGGCGTCTCAGTAGAACCACCCAACAGCGACAACACAGCATCCACCTAACGAAATCAAATCAATTCCCCTTAGAAACACGAAAAGTGCACACACTACAATCAATCAAACACAAAAGTAATCACCTTTTCAAGACCAACGTCATCGAAAACGTAAACCTGACCACGGTACGAGATTGTGAGCTGCTGGTTAGCAGCTCCTTCCGGTGATGGCAATTGAGAGCCATTGGGAGCGTAGATTGAGTCAGGATGATTGGGGATTTCGTCGGTGTAAGGAATGTGACCGATATCGTCTTCGCTACCGATCTGATTAGGGTTGGGGTTGATCTCCGGTTGAGAATGGTGAGCAAACATCGCGGGAACCTAGACAAAAGAAAAGAGCTTTCAGCGAGAGAGAGAGAGAGAGAGGAGAAAAAACCCTAACCCTAAGTGGAAGAGAGAGAAGTGCAATACCTACAGAGAGAGAGAGAGGTGGTGATCGGCGCGTGTGGAGGAGGAGGGAGATTGGCCGTTGTGGAAATTAACCGGCGGTAAGACGGTGTCTTGTGAGAGGTAAAATCGCGCAGCAAACTTTCCGACGGTTCCACGCAACTATCTTCTCAGCCGTTCGATTATACTACTACACCAAAAGCCCATTACGGCCTCACTTGTTAAATTTTTTTAAAAAAGAACTAGAGCTTGGTTTGGTTTGAGTGTCCTATTTTTTTTTTTTATAGATTGATATTTATTTTTCTGTTATATAGTTTAGATTTGTCACCATACAATTAGTTATATTCAAAAGAATCAGACTGAATTGAATAATATGGTCATTTTTTATATAAATATCTGCATATGTTTCAGATACTTGTATATTTTTAGATTTTAATACATAAAAATTTAATTTATCTAGATTTACGAAGACCCATTTCCAAATCATAAATAAATTTATAATATCTAAGTAGAGTTTAATTTTAAAACTAAAATCTAATAATACCAAAAGAAACAATATATCTGACTAGATACTCAATGATCATGTCCAACTGAATTTATAAACTAATAAAGAGAGCATTTTTTATGTGTTTGGCTAGTAAACTAGAAAACAATTTTTTATTTAGTAAAATAGTTATATGGAGGGAAAATTAAGTGGCAATAAATATAATAAAATTTATTATTTTAATTTAAGTTATTATTTTATTCACATATGTGTTTTTGAATTATGTATTTGGCTATGTAGATTTTTCACTGATTGAAACTAAAAAGAAAAAGAGTTTTCTTGAAAAAACTAAACTGAACTTTTAACTAAATGTAAAATTAAGTTATTTTGGTTTTTTTTTATAATTGACAAAAAGTTAATATTGATTATCATAATAAATAAAATATATATATAATATTAATGTAATAGTTTGTTGAAAAGAATGTTAGTTCTATTTGTACTCCAGTTTTGATAATATAAATTTTTCAAAACTGCATTATTCCATACACAATGATTTTGGAAAAAAATTGATGACATGACATATTAACAATGATGATATGATTTGAAACTAATATTGTGATATGGACAATCACATCAAATGTTGATTTATATTTTTGATAAATTTTTAAGAATATAATATTAAATCATAGATTATTATTAATATAAGAATAATAATATAATAATAGAAATATGAATATAATAATATCATTACTATTAATTTCCTTTTATTACTAAAACAAGTCTTCAAAAATTTATGCAGTTTTTTGAATAATATCATTACTATTAATTTCCTTTTAATATCTATAAATTTTACAAATATTATTTAGTTTTATGTTTTGATAATTATATACCTAACAAAATCTTCTTTTAATTTTATAGAATTTTATTTGATATATTTTAACTAAAAGCAATATATTCTAATTTTATTAAGATATATAATATTAAATATAATTTTAAATAATTTTTTATTCCATCTTATTTTTTATAATTACATTAAAAATTACAAATAAATATTCTAAGTAAATAATAAAAGCTAAACACTAACAAAATTTTATTTTTAAATAGAAAATTTAAACATAATCATAGTTAATTTAGATCATAGTTAATTTAGATCTTCAAATCAAGTTTTTACAGATTAAGTCACATTTCAGTTTTTGTGGATAGCAGATCTAGTTAATTTGTTCCGAATTCAGAATTAATAAAATCAAAGGTAATCTCAAGATGAGTGGTAACAACATACTCATCGAAATAGTGTCTCATTTGTCTTAGGGCCGAGAATTTACATATAGGCTAAACTGATGGCTGCAAACGGAGCTCAACATATAGCAAGTGGTGAGTTCACAAAGTGGTAAGAAACTCAAAATCTATTACAAAGGGTGTGAGTAGTATATATTCTCTGCCAGGAATTAACATGTCACTGCGTGAGGAGCTTAGAGTCGCATGCCACAATCTTCACCTGACTCACATTCTCTTGACGGTCTTCACTCTTGAACATTGCGTCCTGTAATATGAAGGTCCAGACGTTGTCACAGAACCTGTAAGTGTGCAGGTGCCCCTGTACAACAAAAAAAAACGAGATTAAGAATCTGGTTGTTTCCTCTGCCAAACTTCTCTTATCTTGAATGCAGCGTTTAACACTTGGTATCCAAAAATAGTGTTCGCAAGAGTTTGGTTTGATGTTAAGAACACTAACATACATAACTTGAGATCAAGCTCTATGGATTGCCACAAATCTGGATAGTCTTAAGGTAACAGATGTAAGCTCCTACTTATAAACCAGACAACTCAATCCATACAACCTAATCTCACCTTAAACTATTTAACTCTAATATGGGCCCGGCCCAGCTTCAGTCTATTTATTATTCGTATCTAAAAGAGCCAAAGAAACTCTAATCTTGATAGAATCCATGACAATGTTACTAGTATTCATCAGGTAGATGACTAAATCATGGTTAAATCTTTACAGAAATTATGACACTGTTAGAGGTAAAAAACTAACAAGTTGTCTAAACATTTTGACTCAAAAATCATAGACTACATAAAACCTAAAACAAACGAGCTAGAAGCAAGACAATTTACAATAAATAAATTAAAAGATTGAAGCTGACCTTGATAGTAACTTTGGTTTTCACTTGGCTCTCAAGAGCTTCAGTCATGGACTACATACAACGCATACATATATATATCAGAAACACTCCAACATTAGCGAGTGAAAGAAAGAAAGAAAGAAACCTTGTCAAACTGAACAAGAACTTGGATAGCTAGCTCAGGGCTAAGCGTACCACTCTGAACCATCTCGTCCAAAGTCTCCGTCAAACACATCCCGATCGTCGATCTCCTGTACAGCTCAAACGTCGCCATTATCTTACGATTTCTGCCAACAGGGAAAAAAATCCGATCACACTCAAAATCGTTGAATCAAGAATCTGAAAAGTTTCGAAATAAGAGATGGAGGAACCCTAAGACCTCAATTCGAGACGGAGACTACGAAAAGAGACGGTTTACCGATCTCCGGCGACGTGGAGGAGGTACCGTTGGGTCGATTGCGAAGGATTTTCTTTTTAGTGGAGAAATCGAATTTGGGGCTTTTATACCCTAGCTTTTTGCAGGTAACTGTTTATATAGGCAGCGATGGATCGGGGAATATTTATAGTTACGATTTTACCCTTCCTTCTTCCTAATTGATGAAAGCCTACATTAATGCTTTCTGTAATTAGACACGATTTAGAAATTACGTTTGGGAAGTGGATAATGGGTTAAATACCACATCCAAATTTCTAATTTGTAATTAACCTTATTCGAATTTCTTACTGAGTTTGACCAGATTTTGTGTGATTATTTTCTTAAACGTAATAACTCGAACCAAACTATTAAACACGCAAGCTTAAGTAGTTCATGTGTAAAGCGTAATGTTTAAAAACCTACTTGTTAATGAATTATTAACTAGGTGTTTGGCCCGCACTTGCGGGCATAACTCTCGTATTAATATCTATTAATAAAAATTAAAAATTAGTTTTAATTATATAATCAATAATAAACAAAATTATAAAAATTCTGATAAATGATCAAAATTACTTTGGATCATGGAGACAAATCAACAAATTCACTTTTCGAATAATTATGTTGATAATTTATATTTAATTATGATTTATATTTAATTATTAATAATATAATTTTTGTATTTTAATTTTAAGTTTTATAATATAAAAATATATATTTTCAACATAACAACATAATCCATAATGATTATCTTATTTTAGAAAAATATTAAATTATTAATATAAATTTATTTTAGTTATAGTTAGATATTAAATTATTAATATAAATTTGTTTTAGATAAATATAATAGCTTTTATATCTTAATTAAAATTTAAGTTTTATATATAAAAGTTAAATATATCTTAATTAAATATAAATCATAACTAAATATATCTTAACTTTAAGTTTTATAATAGGAAAATATATTTTCAACATAACAACATAATCCATAATGATTATCGTATTTTAGAAAAATATTAAATTATTAATATAAATTCGTTTTAGTTATATTTAAATATTAAATTATTAATATAAATTTGTTTTAGATAAATATAATAGTGTTTATATCTTAATTTAAAATTTAATTTTTATATAGAAAAATATATTTCAAGATAACAACATAATTCACAAGAATTATCTTATTTAATAAAAATATGATATATTCATATAAATTCTTTTTATTTATAAATAAAGTATATATAAATATTAAGAATATGATAAATAAACAAAATTACCTAAACTTATGGAGAACATCACAACTAAGCAAATTTACTTCTTAAATAATAGTATAGATTTAATTTTATATATTTTTACATTTTTTGTTACTTTTTTAATTTATAAATTTTGTTATAAAATTATTTTGATTAATTATAAATATATATATACAAAAAAGATTGACTTAAACTAATATTATCGTTTCATTTATTTCAAAACACTTACACCAATATAGATTGATTAAAAAAATGTTTTAAACTAATTTAAACCAATTTAAATTATTTTAGAAGATTGTTAAAAATAATTATATTTTATTAAGCCATTGGCTTAGTATAGATACATAGTCTTTCATTTGTAGTCACATTATCTAAACACAATTGGCGTTACATTATCTAAACACACCCACCGCTTTGGTGTTTCTAGCATGAAATGGATTAAAATGAGAGAACCAGTGATAACAAATCAAAGCTTTCGTTCACTTCTTTTTTTCTGACTTCTTTATGGCTCTTCCACTTCTTCAGTTCTTGTAAAGGGCCTTGCAGTGAAGTCATTACTACATGCTTGTCTATCCATCGTTTTGAATAACGACCTGATGTCAACCTGAAAAAAGCTTTCCACAACTATACTCGGAAGCATTAGCAGAGCATGGGTTTGGTTCAAAATCAAGCAATATAATAATTTCACAAGCTGAAAATCTAACCTGTTTAAGAAATATCATTACGGTCGATGATTCCCAAAATAACCATTTCTCTTTTACCTCTATGAGAGTCACCTCGCACATCTAGACCATCGATGAGAAGGGAATAACAACCCAGCACATTCCCCACCCAATTTATTTATCATCAACTATACTAGGGTAGCTAAGTGATGCAAGATACAAATTCTTAGTTATCATGAAAACCTCCAACACAGTTCAGTTACAAGTTTGACATCTCTTAGGAAAAATGTATGTCCAAAGCGTAAAGATTTTATAGGAGAATAGCCATTAACTTAGTCAAAAAACAAATGAAGAAAAAAACAGCTTTGTCGAAGGTGAGAGAGCGAGGCATTGATGGCTGTGATCTATACAAATTAAACCTTTCTTATTTGATGGGGTTTTAGGTAGCTAGGAGAATACAAATATACTGTGCTTAACAAAACAAAAAAACGTATATAAAGCTGTAAAAGCATCTACAATATAGGATGGTTTTGAAAGAGTTGTCAGTGCTGGGATATATTGAACAAGCTATTTTCCTAAATTAAGCATAATATTACTCACTACAGATTGGTGAGGGTGAACGGTGCAAACAGAATATCCCTTCTCACAAATGGTCTAGACATGAAAGACAACTCAAGCGAACTTGCTAGTCTTCATATTAGCCAACCACGGCAGCCCAAATCTATAATGTAGCACTGCATAAAAAAGACAGATGAACTTTTAGATTCAAATAAAATAGTTTATTCAACATTAAATTACCCTTAATTTCTCTTCACTGAAGCACGTTTATATCCGAGTCATTGCTTTCTCAAAGAAGCTACATTTCATTTTTTGTTAGAGACTAACAGATGAAACTATCCTATATTGCTGTCTTCTAAAAGAGGCTGTGTCACTCTCAAGGTGTTTACAAATCCTTGAACTTTAATGGGTTGATTTGGCATTTTGTCTTGTCTTTTATTTTTTTTTGGAAAGTATTACTCAGGAGCGTCAGTTTTTATTGACAAGGAGCACAAAAATTGAGCTGCAATTCTTAGAGGCATCCAAATAGATGTTTGGATGCATCCAAATATTAAAAATGAGCACAAAAATTGAGCTGCAAAAATTGAGCTGCAATTCTTAGAGGCATCCAAATATTAAAAATGACCAATTTTTTTTTTTTTTATCTTGTACGAACTTCAGAACTCTATAGTGGAAAATGCAGTGTCAATTTGCATACGTTTCATTTAATTTGGGTATAAATTTCCAGTTAACCCTTTATTTACTTTAATGTGTGAATTTAATTATGCTTTTGAACTTAGGTATAGCTAGCTAAGGAAATAAATGAGAAATGAAATAAAATAAAAACACAAGAGATTCAATTTGTTATCTGTCATTCCTTTTCACCAATTTCTCTGTTCAAACAAAATAATTTGCTTTTATTTCATGCTCATAACTACTATTAAAAGCTGTTCATCATAAGTAAAAGGAACATGGACACTAAGTGAATCTCAATACCTCTAGAAGGACAAGAATAGATCATGCATTATTATGTGCTTTTTCACTTAAAAAGAAAATATCAAATCTTGTATACCAAAAAGACGAACACATACACACACACACACATACAAAAGAAGTACTACGATCAAGGTTGCTAAAACGTTATTAAACATATACATCTAACCAAAGTAATGGAGATGAGAAAACACACACCTTAGAAAAGGAGACAGATCCGTTAAAGATTTGAGAATTCTATCTCCCATGGACATGAATCTGCACATGCAAATCAAGATAATTAATTCAATCAATTTTAAATTATGGATCCGCAGCTCAGAAATTCAGACAAGTAATTATCATGCAGCTGATCTATCAAATGATAAATTGCGACTTCTCAAACTACTAGCGAGATCTCAAAAAACGATTCAAAAAAAAATTGTCATGTTCGTAAAATTAAGTTATAAGTTAGAATTATACACGTAATTAGACTAACCGGCCAAGTAAGGATGCATGATGTGAAGCGGATCGAGAAGAAGCAGCAGCTAGGGCAAGAGGGATATTATAGAGCGAAGAATGGAGGATAGAGCACGGAGAATACTAGGCAGGCGAGAGAGGGTTTTATATAAGTAATGCAATGAAAAATGAGCTTAATTATTGATTAGTGCGTTTTAATTATATAAATGAATTGAATGAGATGTCTATTATATCAGATTTAGTTATATAATATGATTAGGGTATGTCGGCCAGCCCGAACCGAAACGGAGGCAAGCCGTTAAGCTGACAGTGAATTTTCTTCTTTTTTTTTTTTAAAATGTGAACCTACAAAAAGGGTTAAAAAAAGAAGAGAAGAGAAGTGCAGGGAAGCAAGAAGAAAAAGTGGAGTCGTCGACACATGTCCAGCTCCAAGTTGACCATAATTAGACTAAATACAGTTCCCAAGCTTTATTTTACTTGTCTCCTTTAATGAATACAAAATTGGTCACGTTTCTTTCTTTTCTAGCTCCTTCCCAACCTGTCAGCCTCCTTTTTATTTTCTCTCTTTTTTACTTTTTTTTCCCATGTTCGAAAATCTGAAAATTTTGGTCTCACTCGAAACAAAAGCAGGAAATGTTACACATACGCGAGTGCATGTATCCTGATGTACATAAGCTTGATTCTTTTAGACGAATAACATGAATGTGAAATCTCAATTCACCGAGTTATGTGTCTCAATGTCATCCCACGAACAATTTGCCAGTTTTGGAGTCTTTAACTGTTGGTACATATAACCCACTTTCATCCAGTATTTTGCAACCACCTCGTTCTAAGGATATATTTATATATCTTCTTTGGTCGTCGTTGTTGCGCAACAAATCTGTATAGAAGCCATATACCTGAGTATTCATGAGCACGTTAAATAATCGAATTTTAGATATTATCATATTAGATTTCGAGTTATTCTTAGGTTCACCCCATAGGGTGAATCTAGAAGTTCACCAACCAATAAAATGGTGTTATTTTATATTTGATATATTTTAAAAAAAGAAATAAAATCTTGTTAAATTATATTATGTTTTTAAAATAAAATACAAAAATAAATAATATAATAATATTAAAAAAAGGAAACAAACTTTAAAAAATATATTTAACACTAAACCC